CCTGGTCCCACCTCAAGAGAGACAGACAACTATCATTGGAATATTTAAGTTCTATGACAGGATAAACAGACACTTATTATACAACTAATTAAGCTCAGAGAGTCAGACATGCAGTTGGTTTATAAAGGTTTATGTTTTATGATACAGGAAAGCGCAGAGACTGTGGGAGCCTAGAGGAAGCCCTTAATCTAGGCTGGCAGTTGGCCAAGTTTTCCAGCAAAGCAACGATCAGCCTAGTAGCCACAAGTTATCCAAGTAAAGAAATTCCAAAAAATTCATACCTGTCCCAAGACCTCCTGAGAAAGAAGACCACAGGTTAGCTTAAAACCCATGACATTTCAATCTAGACAAGAGAATAGCTTCTGGTCTTGGCACAGAGGTTGGTCATGAAGGGTGAGGCCTGCTGTACTTTGAATACTATCCCCTAGGATGGAATGAACATGCCTCATTTTTTTCAGTTGTATTTAAAACTACCATCACCAACGTTTATTTAGCGCTCTCTGTTTTCCATGTGTATTCACACCTATTACTCTAGTTAATCCCCAAACTATCCAACAAGGTCCACATTATATTTCTGTTCTACAGTGTTTACAGTTTCCAAAATTACTGAGGTTCAGTAGGTTAAGCAACTGGCCCTAAAATCAAAGCTAGTGATGGTTCTAATCTCTGTCCAATCTAATTCCCACTCCACAGTGTCTCTTCTGCTGATGTAGATACTGACCATGTCTACAGAAACCTCTTGGCAAGGTTATGCTTTCTTTGAATTTCATTGCTAAATCAGATCCCAGCACAGGGAAATAAATTTTAACTTCTCTGAAATTTTGTGAAAACAATTTATTAGGAGATAAAGAAGGTTTTCTTTTTGGTTTTTGATTTTGTTTTTTAATAAAGAAAGTGAAATTTATTGCTTACAGTTTCTGAGGCTAGGAAGTCAAAGTCCAGGGAAGACAGCGAGTGAAGGTCTTGGTGGTGGTGACACTTATGGCAGGGTATGACATTGTGAAAATGGTGGATGGAGCAGAGACAGCAGAGAGAGAGCTAAAGAAGGCTTGTTTTTTGTTTTGTGTTTTTTGTTTTTTAATGTATGAATAGCAGTAAGTCAGGACAGCCACACACTGGTGATGTACTGCACAATTGCAGAGCCCCATCCACATACACCATGATGTGAATGGTGTTTCCCAGACTTGTAC